TGGCGTACGCCCTTCCCAATTTTGAACCATGCAGTGTTCCCTTGCTCTGTTCTGACGACTGCCTCCTGGTCCAAGTATAAGTTTCGCATTAGAAAACCCATGTGATTTACTACCTCTGAGAAACCACTGGCGGGTCAGCTGTGAGTCATTTTCCACTTGCTGGTCTATAGCAACAACAATAATGATCATGAGAATGGCACAGGACTGGCAACATTTCATTTCGTTATATGGAACAGCTTCACTTGGCTTGGCTTCACAGTCAACAGCAGCCAGGAAATCAGAGGACAAATTTCACTGGGAAAGTCTACTGTCATAGACCTCCAGAGTGCCGAAGAGCAGTGATGTCAGCCTGAAGACTAAGGTGTGCCTGATCCAGGCCATAGTCTTCACAATTGTGTGCTGTATGTCAGAAAGCTAGAAAATGACTAACAATAACAGAAGGAGCATTGATGCCTTTGAGCTGTGGTGCTGGAGAAGAGTATTGGATATACCATGGACTGCTAAGAGAACAAACAGATTCATCCTGGAGAGGATGAAACCAGGCTGGTCCTTGGAGGCAAAGATTCTGAAGCTCAGAAATACTTTGGACATGTTCTAAGGAGGGACAAGTTCTTGGAGAGGGACATCATGCTTGGGAGGGTGGAGGGACAGCGCACGAGGGGAAGACGCTGGATGAGATGGGTGTGTCAGACAATAATGTTGGTGCAAGATAGGGCAGGGCTCAGAGCTGTTGTACATAGTGTCGCTACGAGTCGCAAGCAACTTGATGGCACATAACATGAATGGAAGCTGACCCCACAGCCACTGCCAGCGCAGGTGTGCTTATTTCTCTCTGAGCTCTTACAATAGTTCGTATCCTAGTCTAGGCCACTGGATTCCTGTGAACGCACCTTTGGAAACTCTTCAGAGTAGGTGACAGAGCTAGTCACAGAGCCTGCCTCTGCTGTGCCCAGGGGTGAACCTTGATGTGTTAGGAAGTAGACTTGGCACTGGGGTGAAAGTTAAACAAGCTGTGTGTGTGGCCCTTGTTTGGCAAGAATGATGAGAAAGATTAGTAAAAGCTGAATTGTGTCCTTGGGCAGCTCACCTATCTATTTTATCTGTTGAGTGAGTCTAATCTCTAAGCAAGAGAGTGAGGCTGAATTAGAGATTGATTGCAAAGTGTTTTGCAAATTGAATGTGCCATGACTTATTTGCAAGGTGACTCAAGCTGCTGGAAACTGTTGCGCAAATAATGCTATTAACTGCTTTTTCCTTCAGTTTATTTTCCTCCCTAAGAAATTGTTGTTATGTGCCATTGAGTGGCTTACAACTCATAGCAACCCTATGTACAACAGCTCTGAACCCTGCTCTATATCCTGTGCCAGCCTCATCATCTCCGACACACCCACCCCATTACCCCAGTCAGTCCATCTCATTCAGGGTCTTCCTCTCTTGTGCTGCCCTCCACCCTCCCAAGCATGGCTGGTCCCTCCTTGCAACATGCCCAAAATATGTTTGGCAAAGCTTCAGAATCCTTGCCTCCAAAGAGCAGCCTGGCTTCACCCTCTCTAGGATGAACCTGTTTGTCCATGGTCTATTCAGTACTCTTCTCCAGCACCACAACTCAAAGGCATCAATTCTTTCTATCATCCTTAGTCATTGCCCAGCTTTCTGATGCATAGCAAGTAATTGTGAAGACCATGGCTTGGATCAGGTGCACCTTATTCTCCAGACTGACATCGTTGTTCCTCCAAGAAATTAGGATTTTAAAATTACAGTGTTGTTACATGATGTCTAATCGAGTACAAGTCATATTGACCCTACAAACAACAGATCCAAATCCTGTCTTATCCTGTTACCCTCATCATCTCTGGTATAATTGAGCCCATTGCAGTGAGATTACAATGTAATACCCCCAAAACCAAACTTGCCTACAAGTGAACCTGTAGGACATAGTATATCCTCCCCCTAGGGTTTCCGGACCTTTGTAGAAGCAGACTTGCCACTGGTTTCTCCTGGATTTCAACCACCAATCTTTTGGTTAGCAGCGAAGCACTTAGGCCTCTGCCACTAGGTCTCCTTCACCATGAAATACACAGTATCTAAACAGACTTTTGGTAATGGTCAGTATAGTTATTAGCACCTTAATTCTCTCTCGCTTAAAATGCATCTCTATTGTTGAGTACTGTCAAGTTGGAACCAACCCATAGCTGACCCTCCAGCGGGTTTTCAGAGGCAGCTAATCGAACGGGAGGAGAGTGCCCGTCCTTCTCCCTCAGAGCGGCTGGCAGGTTCGAACTGCATGCATTTGAGATTGCAGCACAGGTTCTTACCACTAGGCCTCTACTTGAAACATTTAAAAGTCGTTCATAATGTGCCATTTTACTGATTCAGTGCTGAGTCAGTGGGAGGGAGGAGTGGTACAGATGTTTCCTGAAGGCCGAAACAGTGTTCAGATACTTTTAGCTAGTCATGGCACGTGGACACACCTGATTTTTGTCATCTTTCTTTCGCCTTGT